AGGGAAAGATGAGAGTAAAGTGTGTTGCTCTATTTGTGCCATTAAAAAATGGTTCTTGGGAACATCACTTGTATTTAAAACTTGGCAAATTTTTTTGAATCCTGCCTTTCTTCAGACTTCTATATCCCACAGCCCCTTTGTTCTGTTGCAGCAGTCTTCAGACCTTTCTTGTATGGAAGCTTTGCTGAGCCATTCCACTTCTCCTCTTGTTTTTCTCCTTCCTTGTGTGATTCTTTCTGTCTTCTCTATCATCTAGTTCCTCTTTCTACTGTCTTATGTTTGTCTTTTTTTTTTTTTTCTTTCTTCTTTTTTTTTTTTTCTTTTTTGTCTCCCCAAACTATCTTCTGGTTCCTCATTCCCTGCATGCCACTAACTAGTTTCATTAGATATTAATTGATTTGTGAATTCAGGCTGAATTGCATCATCAGCAGATGGCGGATCCAGACCTGTTGGAGGAATCCTCTTCACTCCTGGAACCGAGCGAGATGGGAAGAGGTGCCCCGCTACGACTTGGGTAATGGCAATTTGTGCTTTCTTTTATCTAGCTTTAGGACTGCTGACTTACGTTCAGCCTGTGGAATCAGCAGCTATTTGAGTGCAGTTGTGGAACTTCCCAGACTGGCCTGTCAAGCAGGTGAAGGCTGATCTAAAACTAGCTGTTGGTCTCTGTTGGTGGCCTATGTACATTAACTTCCCAGTTCATATTTGTGCTTTGCACATTTCTCTCTGCACAAAAGATTATACTAGTTTGTTCCTTGTAAATCTGTTCTGGTTGCTGTTTTCAGACATTCTGAGCTCTCACAGCTCTGTTGAAACTCGTAACTACTGTGGACACATAATACTCTGAAAAATCTGGATAGTTGTGTGTCCTCTTCATTAGCTGCTTCCAGGCTGTCTTTGTGTGTGTGTAATTCTTTATCTGGACGTAGGGGTTTGAACCTGTGAAGTCTGCTGAAGCACGTGCATAGAACATAGCCAGCCGTTACTGCTGTAATCCTTGCCATGTAATATACCAGGAACCTATTGAAATGAAGACTAGCAGGCATAGAAACTGTATGTCTAAATGCATTTGTTTCTCCTTTAACTGGTGATTTTTTTTTTTTTTAAATAGGTGATTTCATTCTGTTAAAAGGCGTAGCTTGTGCTATAATGTTGTTTTTGTGGTGTTTTTATCTCTGTGTATTTAGGGGACCTTCCATTTTGCTTAAAGAACTAATTTCAAATCAAGATTTTTGTAGCTTTCAATCTGATGCTAAAATCCATTTGCCATCAGTGTTTTGGGTGTCAGGCTATGTATTCTTTTAGGTGCAGAACTTACATTTATGTTGTCCCCTTTACAGGTTTGTGGCTGGTGTGATCAACCGTGAGCGAATCCCCATGTTTGAGCGCATGCTGTGGCGAGTGTGCCGAGGGAACGTGTTCCTGCGACAAGCAGAAATTGAAAACCCCCTGGAGGATCCTGTAACGGTAAAAGGAACTATTGTTTACAGTAGCAGAAGTCTCAGATGTGTAAAAGGTTTTGCTTATAGATCTAAGCCTCTATTCCTCAATGAGCTCCATGCAGGCAAACGTTTGTGTTGCATCCCTTCACAGTACCTACTTGCAGCCTCTGAGGCTTTAGTGACAAATGTTTTCTTGTTTTATTAAAATGAAAATAGCAGGATGGATGGTGTGAGTGCTGTTGAAAGGGGAAAAACAACTCAAAACTTGGACTGCAGCAGGACATAGTTGCTTCTCTGGCACAAACTACAAGTGCAGCTCCTGTGTGCAGCTCTGAATAAGTAGTAATCCTCCTTGACAGAGGCTGTTTTGGACATTAGTAGTGTAACATCTGTAGCTCATTTACTCTGAACTTGGACCTTTCATTTTTCTTAATTTACTAACCAGCAATTTAAACATCCACCTGAGAATTGTTGGCTTTATTACAAATATAAAAAGTAAATGTTGTGATTTGGCCTGGTTTTGCATTCAGTGTCCTCTTTGCTCAAATCAACGGACAATGCCCAAATTTCAGGAACTCTTGCTCTTAACCAGCAAAAAGAAAGTCTCTGTGCAGGCTGCACTGGAACAAAGATGGAACAGTTGAAGCTCAGTAACTGCCTCTGTTTCTTGTGTAAGGCTGACTTGCTGTCTTGTTCCACTGACTGCTGGTAGTTGACCTGTTGAATTATCTGTCTGCTAGGAGGGACTTTGTTCTTATTGTGCAACACTTCCTTAAACTGAGGTTACACCTAATGTAATTATTCTTGAAACATTACATTAAAATTTCCTAAGTAAGGTAGAACAATAACTTGTCAACAAATGCAGGAAAGGGGACCTGGCTACCAACATGAAACCAGCTGTACAAAGAATGTGCCGCTGGCCTCCTTGGAGAGTCAAAGGTTAAACTCTGCTTCATCTTATTTTCATTCACTGTTTAGGTTTTTGCTTGATTCTGTGAGCTGACTGCAGTAACTGCTGATAAATATTTCATTGCATCTCTGTTCTTTTGGAGATCTTCCCAGGTTTTCCTGTTCATTGTATTACATAGAATAGATAATAGATAATCTAGAACATTTTGCTTCAGTAAACACGAGTACAGTAGAGGTATTCTATACTGAGGCTAAGAAAACTGCTTTCCCTGTGACTGTTTCAGTGTTGTTAAGGTACGTTCTTGACTCACTGTGCAAACGTGAGCTCTAGATGTACAGATTCAGAGGAAGGAAAAGTCGGACTCCGTTGTAATTTGCTATAATGCTAATTTCTGTAAATAGCTGAGCTATTACAGTGCACTCTTTCTTCTGTTCTAGGGGGATTATGTGCACAAGTCTGTCTTTATCATCTTTTTCCAAGGTGACCAGCTGAAGAACAGAGTCAAGAAGATATGTGAAGGGTATGAAAGTCTTACAGCTGGGCAGCTCTCTCAAATATGTGAAGCACATTGACATGAGTTAATATCGATATTTTTCAACTCCTTATTTCACAATGACTGTAGGAGTACGTATTTTGACAGCAAATAAAAAGTATTGTAAGTAGCTGAAACATATTTTACAGTCAAACTAGCCACTCCCCAAGCCTGCAATGCTCAAAGTGGATGAATACTTTGCTAGAGAATGCCTAAAAACAAGGGAGTTCAAGTGTTGAACTCTCAGACAGACCGAGTGGGATGTCAGCGGGCGATATTCTCACAGGGGAGACCAACAGTGACTGCTTCTGGCAGCAGCTGCATTGGCATGATAGCAGCACCCTGAGCTGAGATGGCTGATCAACTTCATGATAGTGCCTTTGGGACACTGTCAGTACAGGGAACAGAGGATTTTCTCCCACTTCCATTTTCTTAAGCGTTCAGCTTCTGTTTTGGCCTAAAGCAAGCTTCTGTACCCATTTGATTTAAAGACTGAAACTCTGCTTGGCAGTCTTTGCTGATCAGAAACTTCTCCTAAAGCGCTTCTTGCTTTATTTCTGTGTTCAGCCATCTATTTCCCTGACTGGTTTATCTTCTTTCCATCTTTGTTACTAAGGTGGCTTGCATGTCTTTCAGATTCCGTGCCTCCCTCTACCCATGCCCAGAAACACCGCAGGAGCGGAAGGAAATGGCTTCTGGTGTCAATACCAGAATTGATGATCTTCAGATGGTAAAATAACTGGGGTCAATGCCCTTTTTTCTTTAATAATATAGTTGAAAACATCTTTGGATCCTATCCAAACAGGAGAGTTTATGGCCCCGTTAGATGGCTGTATTTTCAGCTCCAGGTAGCTTGAGACCAGCAGCTCAGCAGTGCAAGAAGGGTGTTCGGAGGCTGTCTGCTCAGTTGTTTTCTTTGTCAAGGTTCAGGATGGTGGGGTGGTTTGATCTTTCTGGAGGGCTAAGCAGTTAATTATATACCTGTAAGTACAGCATTGATAGAGAACTGCATGTCAGGGAGCAGAGAGGAATATGCATGTGTAAGGAGATACCATGTTTTCCAACTCTGAAAGCATGCTTCTGTAATTGCCTGCTTCATCTGCAAGAACTTTAAAAACATTTAAACTTATTTCCAAGTTGAGCTAACAATGCTAACTTTAACTTAGCTATTCTTTTTTCTGCCTATCTTCATATTTTCATGTTGTGCTGCCCTGAAGAGCTTCTGCTTTACAACTAATCTCTTGTGTAGCAGCCTGAGTGTTGGTAAAAAGTAATCAGCACACAAATCTACTGGGTGCCAGCTGTGAAATATGTGGTGCTTGCTCCAAGGAAGAAAGGCAGTATGTTATAATGCAGAAAAAAATTAAGGGATTTGAGACAAAAAATAAGAAAAGGTTCAGAAACTAGAAGGAGAAACGTTTGAATTTGGACTACGTATTTGATACAGAAACTGTCTCAAGCTGGGAGTTGTGTAGTGCAGCTGCTTAGCAATTTTAAAATAGACAAAAACTCGGAAGCAATTTAACTACTAGGATTCAAAGCTGCATGTGCCCTGTGTCCTTGCTTTCCCTTGAGTCTAAGACTTTCCAGTCTGGAAATCTGACTTGGCATGTGTTAGATATGTTCCAGTTGGAAAACACCCTCAGTAGAAAACACTTTCTCCTTTTCCCTTCAGTAAAAAAGTCTTTCGTTGTAATCTTTGTGTGTTTTCTTAAGGCAACGTACACCTCACTTGTAGAAGTCTTCTCTGCTCTTTTAACCTGGGTGGAGGAAAAAAAAGTTCTCTGTGATCTCTAAACAGTTCATTGTTTGAAATATCCACTGACCTTGGAGTTGGAGGAGGAAAGTAGTCAAAAAGTATCCCTGGAAAGAAGCCTTAAAACCTTTTAGCAGAACTAACTAATATGGAGACTAAAGCATATATTGCAGGCATGTGGCAGTCTTGTGCATGGGATGGGGGAGAGGGCTCATCCATCCATCCTCTGGTGGGTAAGGCTTGTCTTGTTGGTCAGCCCGATTTCACTGTGCACTTCTGTATGCTTTGAGTTTTGGTCAATGATTTTGCTTCATCTTTATCCTACTTCTCTATGAAAGGTGCTGAACCAAACAGAGGATCATCGCCAAAGGGTTTTGCAGGCAGCTGCTAAAAATATCCGTGTCTGGTTCATCAAAGTACGCAAGATGAAGGCCATCTACCATACCCTGAATCTGTGTAATATCGATGTGACACAGAAATGCTTGATTGCTGAAGTCTGGTGTCCTGTGGCTGACCTCGATTCTATCCAGTTTGCTCTCAGGAGAGGCACTGTGAGTAATTGCTGTACTGCTCCTGTCTGCTGCTGTTCAAGCAGACCAGCAACTGTCAGCAAACACAGCATGGCTTAATTGATTTTTCCGAACTGCGACTCTCTGAAAACCATCCCTTTGGGCTGTTTGAGTGAGTCCTCACAGAGGACAGTTTGTTTAGCATGCAGGAATCATGGCTTATAGATAAACTTTGTAACAAAATCCATTGTGTAAAGCTTTAAGTTCAGGAAAATGCTGTAATGGTAAGGCATTTTCCTGTGTTTGAGTCCTTTGGTACATTTAGTTAACCTGGCTGTGCTTTGTAGTCCTGCTGTTTGGATACATAGTGGAACTTACTGGAAGGAGCTATCCAGGACGTTAGCAAGCTCACCCTCTGCTCAGATAGAGAGATAATAGAGTCGGGTGGTGTGAAGTCCTTTCATTTGCTGTTTTAAAAAAAACAAACAAACTCTTGCATGAGTTTTCTTGTCTGTCCTAACCAGACAGTGTTCATCCTTACTACAAATGCTTCTCCTCCTGTTATACAAAGTGGAGAGCAGTGGAAACTTGGCAACCTTCCTCAGCTCAAGTATATTTCTTATCGTACAAGCACACTACAAAAATGTGAGCTTGTAGTTGTCCAAATGCTGACAAGAAAGTAGTGTTGTACTCTGTCCTCCAGTATTCTAAGGGTGGGTTTTCTAATTTTTTTTTTTTTTTTAAAACAGGAGCACAGCGGATCCACTGTCCCATCTATTTTAAACAGGATGCAAACCAATCAGACCCCACCAACATACAACAAAACTAACAAGTTTACTTCTGGCTTTCAAAACATTGTTGATGCTTACGGCATTGGAACGTATCGGGAAATAAATCCAGGTAAAGTCATACTTATAAAAGTCCAAGACAGCTATCTCAATTTTTAAGTCATGGTGTTTCTCTGTATTGTCTGTGCTGTGTGAAAATTTCTGATAGAGTACTTAACACCTTTCAGAAGCAGAGGCTTGGGAATTATATTGCTAAATTGCATAAATTGTACAGTGGTAAATCTGGGCTTACTCAAATACAATGCACTAGGAGTGTCGTCTTTTCTCTTACAGCACCATATACAATCATTACCTTCCCGTTTCTGTTTGCTGTGATGTTTGGAGATTTTGGCCACGGAATCCTGATGACTCTCATTGCTGTCTGGATGGTGCTTAGGGAAAGTCGTATTCTGTCACAGAAGAGTGACAATGAGGTAAAGTGGCAGGTCATGCTGAGTTTTGCATTTAAAATAGAGTTGCAGCTTGGTTTACTCACAGCCTTCCGCCCTTGAGTTGAGAAAGCCCATTTGTCCTTACATTTGAAATTTGGGAAGCACACAGACAGAGTGAGAAGCTTATAGACCACAGACTTGAGTAGCATCATTTCATAATAGTAGTGAGTTCCTTTGGTTTTCCTTTCAGATGTTTATAGGAAATCATTCCTTTCAGTTGTTTGAAGGAAATTGTTTATTAAGTGTAGTAGATAAGCTGTTGTAAACAAATCACCCCATATGTAGTTGGATCGTAAAGGGGTTCAGTCACTGCAAAACTCCTCTGATTTCTGTCTGTGTATATCTATCTCCAAGATTCTTCCTATTTGCTGATCTAGGGGGGTTTTGCTTGCTCAGGGCTTAGGTTGACAGGAGGTGAACCAGAATTAAGATACATTGGCAGAGCATGGAGAAAGCTGAACAGGGTCTGCACTGCCTAGTTCCAAGCTAATGCTGCCAGCTGGGGGCTTGCATCAGTGTGTGCAGTGCAATTTATCCTCTTCAGCTAATCCCAGATTCTCTGTGGACAGTCACGCTGCCTGTTTATCCTCTGTATTCAGATTCTGTTCTGCAGTGCTGCTCTTGCACCCTTAATCCCTGCCATGCAGAAAGAGAGACTTTGGGCTTTTAGTCTGTCTGGCTGATATTGGTTGTTCTGCAACTGACTGATCTTACTGTTCATCTTTATGAGAGACCTTCCTTGTTCTCATGGACTTTATTTGTTCCTTTTTGGTTTGTTTTTTTATATATACTAGATGTTCAACATGGTTTTTAGTGGTCGATACATCATTCTGCTGATGGGACTGTTCTCCACTTACACAGGCCTCATCTACAACGACTGCTTCTCCAAGTCTCTTAATATGTTTGGTTCATCGTGGAGTGTCCGGCCGATGTTCTCGAAAGGCAATTGGTCGTGAGTAAATAGTTGGTAACTAAATAAAGAGTGACAGTGATAAGCAGGTGACTTATCTTTCCCCATTGTCCTCCCAACTCAGGAAAACAAAAACTTCTGAACTCAGGCTCAAGTAGAATTGGAAGCGGGGTGTGTGTGTGTGTGTGTGTGTGTGTAAATGTGATATCTGTCAAGTTTCAAACCAGGGTTTTTTTTTTTCCCCAGAAAACTGCAGTTTAGCACCTTTCTACTCATAGACATAGCAAGATTCTTGTCACCTGCATCTTTCTTCCTTGTGACACTGAGTAACAGGTCAAGAGGCAGTTTTATTATTCATTCGGAAAATCTCTAGGACCACACAGGAACCTTAAAATTCTCCCAATTTGAGATATTCCTTGCTCTCACAAAGAAGAATGTTGTTAGTTTTTACAGAACGAGGACAGTGTTGTGTGTGTTAACGTTTGTATAATCTACTTATACCCAAACAGAGATGCCTTGCTTGAGAATACTCCTCTGCTTCAGCTGAACCCTGCTATTCCAGGAGTGTTCGGTGGACCCTACCCCTTTGGAATTGACCCGGTAAGAGCGTTTCCTTCCTTTCCTGTCCTTTAAGAACATCCTCTGTGTCAACAGAAAGAAAAGTGCCTGTCCAGTTTACTGTGAAGGATTTCCACACCCCAGCCATTCCCTTAGCAAACTCTTTATCAATGTTGAAAATACCCCTGAACGATAAAATTAATTCAGTTCCTATTGAGATGCTAAATTCAGGATAGAGACTTGTTCTCAGGTCCATTAAAAGCTTCTTTCTCACCCTTTCTAACCTGCAGCATTCTAATCAAATCTGGTTAGACTTGCAAATCACTTTATGAAGTTACTTTTTTACCTTGGGGAAAGTTATTTACTTCTTTTTTCAGTCAGTCGTGGAAATGTAAGTTTCCAAGTAATCCTGTCATTTTGTATCTGCTTACATCAATAACACTGCTCCTAACAGTGCTTAGAATATTTGATACAAAACTTGCATGTGCCACATTAAAGAGGAAGTGCAGAAAATCAGAACTATGCGTAATAGTTCACTTAAATGGATAATCGTGTATTTTTTCTGTCAAGGATACAGCCCCCTTTTTCCTGCAACTTTCGCCTACCATAAAAACAAGCAAGGTTTGATGCCTGCTCTGATGGTGGGATCAGCTGCTGTAAGACAGTGCTCCTAGCAGAAAAGGTCGTCTGCTCATTTCCCCAAAAGATATCTGTGTGACAAACACATCTTTAGAAACAACCTACTCTTACAGCCTAATACTTCCTGGATGGCTAATACTATTTAGCTTAAAGTGAACATTTTAACTCTCCTCTGTTTTTCTCTTACTCAGTATTTGGCTGACTCAGTGTTGTTTTTCACAGATTTGGAATATCGCCAGCAATAAGCTGGCCTTCCTCAATTCGTTTAAGATGAAAATGTCTGTGATTCTTGGCATTATCCACATGCTCTTTGGTGTCACATTGAGTCTTCTCAACCATATGTAAGCGCTTTGCTCTGTTTTTTCTTGTGGCAGGGGGAATTTCTTTCGGTGTAATGTGTGTATTAGTTTAAGATGCAGGAGCCTATTTAACTTTTGATTGAAGGGTGCAATACAGTTGGTTTTGTATGTGTATGTAGAACTATGCATGTCAAGTAGTTACGGTGTTTAAGTCCCAGCTGTTGCTGAAATGCTGAGCCCCTGTTTGTTCCACAGATGCTCTTCAGGTTCACATTAAAAGTTACTGCCCTACATATGCCTAATGCCAACCAAATGTAATTTTAAACTCTCCTTTTTTTTCCTGTAGCTATTTTAAGAAGCCACTGAACATATACCTTGGATTTATTCCAGAAATGATTTTCATGTCGTCACTGTTTGGATACCTTGTTATTCTCATTTTCTACAAATGGACAGCCTACGATGCTCACACATCAAAGGATGCACCAAGCCTTTTAATACATTTTATCAACATGTTTCTGTTCTCCTATAGTGATACCAGTAATAAGATGCTTTATAAAGGGCAGGTGCGTGCTCTTGCCAGAATAGGATCAGAGGTGCTTCATGATATTAGAGCCTTTCATTGACCTTATAATAATTGTGAAATCAACTGTGAAACTGTTTTTCTCAGTGACAGAGGAAATGTGGCATCATTTCCAAAGCCTGACACTGTGTAATGTTGAAGAAGGAAGGAATAATCCCTATACCGGGAATTTATATCAGTCTGAACCTAAGTCAGCTGTGGCTCCAGAACATTTGGATCCAGACTAATAGCGGAAAGTGATAAGGAATATTGTCCTGCATCTGCAGTGTGGTGCCTCTAAGCTGAGCTAAGGCACTAACACCATTTCATCCTAGCACTATCAGACGTCTGCCAAACTGTCATCCCCTGCAGAATCTTTTGGATTTTTCCTTAATCTAAACCAGTATCAGCATTACATGCTGTGTACAGTCAGATGGGGCAGCTGCAAGCAGGCATTAAGTACAGCGCATCTTGCTGTTCCAGGAAGAGAGAGAGACAGGGAAGTGTCCACGTACTCTGGGAATTCAGTTGTTCAGTGTTGCATAAGACCTCTTGCTAGGTTTTGTGTATGTGTCTGAGCATGGACTGCCACTAAATCATCTGAGACTTGTTTCTTTTACAGCAAGGGCTCCAGTGTTTCCTTGTGGTCGTGGCGTTACTGTGTGTGCCGTGGATGCTGGTAGCTAAACCCCTGGTCCTTCGCCATCAGTATTTGAGGAGAAAGCACTTGGTGGGTGACTACCTCTTATATTTTCAATATGAAAACTAATTACTGTTGAAAAGCTATGTTCTCCGTCTTGATCTTGGACACGTGGGTTCACACTGCATTGTGACCTGTAAAACATTTTTGCATATTCCTAGGCATAAAGGCAGGTGGGTTTTACTGGAGACAAAGTATTGTCTGCCTGCTTCTCAGATCTGGATCCAGCATCAAATCTGCTTTTAAAAACCCTGTATATTTGGTAATAATAAAACCAATGTATCTGGCTTGGGCTTGGTCAGCTGGTTCAGGAACACTGTCTTACTCGTTGCTGGATGCACTTCTGTGCCTTCGCTAGGCTGACAACGTAAAAGCAGAGATGTAAGCTTAATTGGCTGTCAGACTTATCAGCCATTTTTGTTAAAGCAGTTTGGATGGTAAAAAATAACAATTAAAAGGAAAAGAAATAGACTTACGCAGTCATTTTATGAGAGGTTGTCTTCTGGGGTACTCTCTAGGTTCCCAACTGTACTGTAAAGTATCTTAATATAAAATGCAGGAACCTGGCACACGTGCACTGAGGATGCTTGAAAATTCTCCCTGCATGTATGGCAGACAGCTTTTAGGATGTTAAGTGAGTCAAAGATCAGTTCAGTTAAAGACACTCCCTCTCCCTTCTCTGACCATGTTTCATCCTCCCATGTCCCCTCCATTCGTCTCCCCTTCTCTTTTTGTTTTCTTCCTCCTCCCTTTCTTTTCTTCCATTCACTATCAGGAAGGGCAACCCGAGGAGGCCCAAGTCAGCACAGTCCCGAACGAGCAGGCACTAGAGGCAGCAGCGGCTGCAACAGTGAGTGGATTTAAAAATCACCTGATGGATTTAAAGATGGGAGTTGGCTTTCTATCTAATGATCAAGAGAGCATGGAATGTATCTGCATTTCATAAGGGAATGACAACTGCACCTTTAGGGTGAAAAACACTTTCTCTTGGAAAGAGCAAAGTTCAGCAAAATTGATACATTCTGGAAGAACTACCAGGCTGAAGGATAATAGTTATGTGTGCACAGAATGCAGAGACACTTCTTTGCAGAAGTGCTGCTGAAATCAAAACCTGCAGAGCAGCCCAAGAATACCTTGCTACCACATCCCCCCAGGTTAAGTTCCCCTTTTTTCCTTTTCTTGCATATTTGTTTAAGACAGATTAGGATTCTTCTCAGTGAAGCATTTCTGTTCGCATTATGTGTTCCCAAACATCATATTTATGTGATGGCCTCCCAACAACTTCATATCAGTAATTACTGGATTTTCGACACCTATGCCCTTGTAGACACTTTGACTTGAAACTATTATAAAATGGTTGTGCACAAATAAGCCTCTCAGTAGTGGTTTTTTCTACTTATTTGCGTCTAAACCTACAGACAGCCCTTTACTGCTAAAGCTTGTCTGGCAGAGTGAAGATTGCAGCAGCTCCCAGAACTTTGTCCCTTTCCCAGTACTGCATATTTCAACTTGTTTTCGGTTGTGAGTGCTGCCTAACTAGGAAGCGTAAATCTCACAAACTATGTGAAGCGCATTGCGCACTTCCACATGTCAAAGGCACTTTGAGGCACTTTTTAGCTGTTGGCCAGTGTTTCTATTGTGACATTTTAAATAGCCTCACAGAAATGTCAGAAATTAAAATGGATCTTTTGTGCATAATCCATCCAGCGTATTAAATGCATCTCAGTGCAAGGTGATGTGAGGGAAGGTCTTTGTATGAGGTGTGGTCAGAACTATAAAGTAAACGATTACAGCTTTTGGAGCCATGTTTAGATTGGCTACTTTACAGAGAACGGATGCAAGTGGAGTGCAAGGGAAAAGCTGCAAAAGTGCAAATTCACACAGGCTAGAAATACATAAATAGAATAGTGATACTAGTCATCAGGAACTTGTAATGTTTCAAAGATGCTGAAAATCGTAATAAAAGCATTGTATTGCTTTTTTTTTTTTTCATTTTATTTCTATTTTCAAAGCATAAATGCCTACCTAATTTGTTTTTAGAAACCTGACAAAATCTTTAATTCACATCTGGCATTTTGGGCAAATTTATAGTTCAGCCTAAAATAAAAGTAGGCTTCTAAGAACAAACCAGTTAAAAGAACATCGAGCAGCCATTCCGCTGGTATGCCGGAGCAATGCGCTGTGAAAGCAGACAGGTCACGGGATCTTAAGCCTCCTTGGTTTGCAGTCATCCTGAAACTTCTGAAGTCTTAACGTGTCGAGTTAGCCCATTCGCATTCCATGTCACAGATGACCCCGGTACAGTGCTAAAGCTGAATGCAGCGCTTTTCTTTCCATTTGTGGCATTTCAGTTTGCCTCTCTAGGTGGGTCAGACTCACAGGTCTTGATTTATAGTCCCTCAGATCAGTCATGAGCATTTTCTCTGCTTTCGGAGCCTCTGGAGGGAGATAGAAATCCTGCTGTACAGTGCTCAGAGCAGCTTGCTGAACAGAAATCTGAAGATAGTGATGTGCAAGTTACACCTTTATTGTCCAATATGCATTTATGATGCATAAATTGCTACTCAACCCTCAACTGGTTTAGTGGTGGACTTGGTAGCGTTAGGTTAATGGTTGGACTGGATGATCTTAAAGGTCTCTTCCAACCTAAATGATTCCATGATTCCGTAAAAGCTCTGATTGAGGGCCCTGTCAGATGATCGACAGGTTTGTGCATCCTTTCTTGGTGGTAGGACAGTATGGAGGAGGAAGCCTGCCATAAATCAGATTTTAGCTGTGCAATGATTACAGTTGTCAAGTGAGAGAAACTCCTGACTCTATCAAAAGTTTCAACTCGGTTTGTAGATTATTCTTTTCTGTTTGGAGTGCAGTGGAGTTTACGGCCAAGGGCCAGATGTTGACTGTCAGAACAAATGCCTATAAAAGGGACTGTTTGTACAACGTAGAATTTCCAAGCAAGGGAAAGTCTGATTTCCCATGTGTGGTGTTAGTACGCCTGATGCTGGCGGGGAGCAAGCGTGTGTATGTATATTTGTGTCAGTCCATTCTGCTTTGAGCTGCCACTATGTGACTTGTTTCATTTACAACAGCAGTGGTGTTTCGGTGCTTGTCCAACAGCTACTGGGCAAAACGTTGGTCTGTTGCACGTTAGTGCCAGCAAACGTCCTCTTGAGAGATGTGCCTTTTATTTTACTTAGGGTTGCAATTACTTTGTAGAAATGTATCAATTATTCATTCAGACAGACTTTTTTTTTTTCCCAGCCTTAGCAGGAATCAGCATCTTTCCCATCCAAGCTGGGAAATAGAATTGTACAGCTGGCTTAACCTGGGCCTTAATATTTTGTTTTCTTCTGTGAGCTGCTGCTGCACGTGGAGTCATAAGAAACGTATGCTCTTGCAGTAAAACACAAGCAACACTTTGCCCTTTCTTTTTCTGCACATGTTAGGGAACGCACAACTTTGGTGGGATCCGGGTGGGCAATGGACCAACTGAGGAGGATGCTGAGATCATTCAACATGACCAGCTATCTACCCATTCCGAGGAGGGGGAAGAGGTAAGCGCCTGACCATCCTTGCTCTCAGGGCAACGCACTTGGTAGCAGAACGTGCTAGCGTTTTGACTGATTTCTAAGCTGTTTAAATAGCAACGTTTTCAGTGAAGTGTTTTCATAGCAGTTGTCATGCAGGCTATCTCTTGGTCATTCCCAGGACTCCAGAAAGAGCAGTATAATTTCCATATAAAGGGAAATGAGGCTCTGTTAGTCCCCATTAAAAAGAACCATCATCTTACGGGCTACATAGTGAGAGCTGCACAGTACTCCCAGGCGGCCTACGCAGCTTACGCTCTGGCTGAAGTGCAGTGCATTTGTGCTGCCTGCTTCTCCAGTGTCAGCCAAAATCCAAGGGCTGTATTTCTGCAGCAGTGAAATCTTGCTTATATATTCATTTTGACCGTTGGGGGTAATACTAATTGCTTTGCCTTACCTCTGGTAGAGAAGAAAAAGGAGCCGATCTCACATAGTTTGGGAGTATTTTGATGCCTCTTAACAATTCTCCAGTGGTATCTTGCCCCCGTAGTGCATGTGATGTGTTACTGCTTTACTGTGTCGTGTTTAGGAGGGAATTATTGAATGTGTTCATGATTAATGTTGTGATTGAGACACCGCACTAAATGTAAACTTATGTTTTCAAGCCTACAGAGGATGAGGTGGTAAGACTACAGACAGCTTTGCGTTCATGTGTATCTGGACCATTTCCCATTGGTGTAAAACACATGCTGAATTAAACATATTATGTCACGACATCTTGTTTTCCAAAAGATCTAGCTATTTACATGTTACAGGCCATTTTTAATTCTTCATACATACATGCCCATTAACAGACCTTTAATTACTTCATCTATACAGCTTGTTTGTCTTATCCCCTGTCTGCAGCTCTTTCTTAGTTAACCTGGAAAGCTGTTAAGCTGGAAGTCTGAAACTGAGAAGTTTTTGCTTTTAAACTGCTGAAGAAGTCTCGTTTGCCTTATGTTGTGTCTTTGGTAATTCTGCACTGCAACAAACTGTTTAAAGATTTTTTTTTTTTTTTCCCCCAAACTATCTGCCATTTTATGGATGATACTGGTTGTTGCCAGTCAGCAAATACAGCAAAACCAGTCCAGTTTCATACAGTTCAACAACTTAACTAACGAGTATCTTTCTGTAAAAGAGAAGCTCTTCTGAGAAACTGCTATTAAAGAAATGTTTTTTTAGGAATACTCATGCAGGACTGATTGTAGGTTTCAGCGCTATCAGGTAACCAATTTTACTACAAAAAATATAAATGCCATGAAATTGGAGTAGCTTCACAACAGTGATGCTGTTGTAAGTTGTGCTGAAAGTGGTTTTGCTTAGAGATCTATTATGCATAGGTCCATCTAGAATTGAGGGGGACGTGGAAACAGTGTGCTGGTGTACCTGTTAATTCTATGTATCTCTAAACCTGTGAAAAATGCGTAAAACTACAGATACTGTGCCGTAGCAATTCTGCTGATTCTCCCATTCCCCGGCATAGTGGTAACTTCAGCAGTTGCACATGGCTGTAAGTTGTCATTGTTTAAATATTTATCACATTCCATTTGCTGCACACTGACTTGCCATGTGTGCTGGGAGGTGGTATTGTTCACCAGGGCAGGCTTTAATAAAGAAATTTGCAGCTCATGTTCTGTGGAGAAAGAATTAGGCTTTTGACAGCTAATTTAACCTAATTGTTTGAAATATTTATTGCCCTGGATATACTAGGGGAGAAATAAGAATATAAATAGCTTTCTGAGTGTGCTTAGAGCATTAGTCACTTGATGTATTTAAAACAGCATGTTCACTTCACTTAAATATGAGCAGTTTCTGAAGCATGGATTAAATCCAAAGTGCAGGGAATGCTTTCCCAAGCTGCAAAATAAGAAACTGTCCTACATGGCAGACTTCCTTATAAGTTCTTCTTTTATTATTTCAAAAAATTACCAAGACACAGAGACTTTGCCAATGAATGGTGCACAGATGTGACTTTTCGAGATTGCTTTGTGCATTATTTTTGCTTTCAAAAAGGGCAAGTTCGCATCTTGCAAAATGTTCTTGTTGATCCTGTAGCAAAGGCACGTGCGCAGTATCGACTTGGAATACTGTCTCCTTTTTCATAGAGGTACATACAATTTACCAGTGAATTCATATGAATACCATGTTGTTGCTGAACAGTCTTTTCCTGGCAAAGTCCGTGGCTGAATTTGAAATATCTTACTTTCATACGATAGAATGTGAAAACAATAATAGTCAAGCTGCAGCAGTGAACTGTCATTCTACAAAACCTAGCAAGACAAGAGAATTCATTTTTCATTTATAAACTGACATGCTAAACCAGGAGAAGACAGTATCAGTGTCTAACTTCCAACACAATGTCCTTGGTAATAGCACCAGGTAGTGTGCTCGTTTTCCCCGATCAGCCAACCCTTGCTGCTTGCAAGGCTCGCAGCTGTCTTAATTTTCTGTGTTCTCTTTGCAGTTTGACTTTGGCGATACTGTGGTGTACCAGGCTATCCACACCATTGAATATTGCCTGGGGTGCATTTCAAACACTGCATCCTACTTGAGACTCTGGGCTCTCAGCTTGGCCCATGCACGTGAGTATTCCTTATGGAACGGAGGTTTGGATCCGTGTGTCTGATCACCCTCGGCAGGCGGTAGGGGAAAGGGAGGAATGCAAGTAGCCTCTCTGGAGCTCAACTGTGCTCAAGCACTGCTGAAGGACAGAGCTGTGTGTGCAGTAGCTGGGACTAATTAAGTCTAAAGACCAGGGTCTACTTGCGTAGCGCTCTGCTGAAAGCTGTCTGGATCTAGAAGGGAGGGATGGAGTTGAAAGCACTGAATAAAGCAAAGAGCTGCTGAGCAAGGACTCTGCCCTGCCCTGTGTGACAGTTGGAGGCAATGTCCTGATGTACTTTGCTGCAAAAGCTGTTGTCCCTCTTAAGTTTCCCACCTCATTGTAGTGGGAGTTTGCTTGACTGTTAGGTTTTGCTTTATAAGTAAACTGTAATGACCTTCCATTCTTGCTGAATGTTCTGAAATGAGCCCTCTTCTCCCCTTTCTCCTGGCAGAGCTCTCGGAGGTGCTCTGGACCATGGTGATCCACATTGGCCTCAGCGTGAGGAGTCTGGGTGGAGGCTTTGGCCTCTTCTTCATATTTGCTGCTTTCGCTACCCTGACAGTAGCAATTCTCCTGGTCATGGAGGGGCTGTCTGCTTTTCTCCATGCTCTTCGCTTGCACTGGTGAGTTACTGGAACATGCAGAAACATCAAAGCTCTTCATAGCAAGAAAATTGATGTCCCCTGGACTATGCAGAAATGCCATGTTCTAGAAAATTGTATTGACTCTTACACAGGAAAGCTAAGGCCATAAAATTGCCGTAGTGGATAGTACTGAGCCAAGATCAGCAATGTTCAGAAGTGCTGGAGTACCACAAATCTACCTAAACATCTAAATGTCCTACAGCAGATGTGCTCTGACAGCAGAAAGTCTTTAAAAGGGTCAGAGATTTCAGTCTTTTTTCTAGTGATACACCACTCTCTCCTGATTGTATGCATAAACGTTGCTTGGAAATTGTGGAGAGTAACTGATCTCTGCTTAAAAATAAGTTAGATTCAAGCTTTGTGAGCAGTGGGATGGGAAGGCTGTGCTAGATAGATGAGTGTGCTTGTGCCTTTCAGTAGGACTTTTTTGTTCTATCCTTTGGTCTGTTGCCTGGTCCTAATGTTTGTTTTCCTTAGCATGCAATAGCTACTGACTGCAGTTTCCTTCGTGTGGTGTCACTCGTCTTCGTAAGACCTTGCATTGAACAGGGGCAGCTTTGCCTGTCTGCCCTTCGGGGTGCTGTGGAATCGTAGCCATTTCTCACTGTCTGGCTTATTGGCTGATGCTTTTGTAGCCCCTTTCCTGTGATTCTTAAGCTCCTGTGTATGCAGACAGCCAGTAAACAAGAAGGAATTACTCGCTAGAGTGCTCATCGCCTTCTCCGCACCCAAGTATGGAAAGTGTTCAAGAGCTTTCTCTAATCTGTATTTAAGAACGCTCATTGTTCCACTTCAGATTCTCTGGTTAGTGCACTGGTGGGATCAAAAGAGCAACGTGGGAATGGGTTTTGCTTGCCTAGGGTTCTCTTCAGCCTAAAGTGTAGGAGAGTATGTCTATACCTCTCCTCTGGACAGTTCTGGTTGCTGCCATCTCTTAAGGTAGTTTCTTCCCTGGTAGGTCAGGAGAAGAAAATGAAGTCACATGAAGTTTACAAGGAATATTCTGTCTTGCTTAAATGGGAGGAAAACGTTGTGAGGACTTTTTTAAAGTAGTTCTGTAAGTGAGAAAGGAAGCTAGGGCTTTTTAAAAAAAAAAAAAGGAAAGAAAGAAAATCAGCCTTTTTGCACTTTTTCCCTGCTTCTGGGGAAGGAAAACTTTGTTCTTTTGCTCTCTGTTGGCAGCCTGCAGGGTACAGATTGGAGTGTTCCTGGGGTGCTTGGGTCTTTGTAGCTCAAGTGAGTCGTGCTTTATCCAGGGATTCAGAGGTGTAGCCATCTTGTGCCGAGAGAGCCCGTGGGGGAGCCGCTGCTGAAAATGGCTGCTGAATGGTGCTTCTGTTTTTCCTGGCATCCAGCCTAGAAATCTTCATACCAGTCACTTGAGAACTTCTTGCTGACTGGCTGGTGTTTCCTCATCCTCATTCTGCTGTCACTGTACTACACCATTGCATCAGTGTGAAAGAAGGAGCTGTGCAAACCCTGCCTGGTATTATTGCTAGCAGTCCAAGAAGAGCAGAGAGTAAGCAGTGCTCTAACTCCGTATGTGATGTTTCTGATCTGCAATTGCTTGTGAATTAGTGGATTTTTCAAAGTCTTGCTTCTCTGGACTGCAGTGCTGCGTGGTACATTTCTGAACAATAGCAGATGAACAGTTCTGGATGGCTTTTCTTCTTGGCAGGCTCTGTGTTTTCTTTTTTACCCAAAGGGATGGGCTAAGATAAGAAAGCATGTTTTTCTGGAGATACCTGTCTCATGTTAATAACCACAAACTGCACTTAGGATACCACTCACAGAGCACCTGGAACAAATGTGAACTGGAGGTTGCAGTTCAGCCAAGAGACGGCTTTTCACATTGCCAGGCTGTCTCTAAAGGGTGATTAAAAAATTGCCTGGAAATGTGTCAAGGGAAGATGCATGTCACTGAAATGGCAAGCAAACAGAGAAACCCAGCTGAGCGATAGCAGTAGCTGCATGGATTGCTGGTGCTGTGCAGACCGGTGCAGGGCGCTTGCGGGACTGGAGCTCTTAATGAAGTCATATTTTCCCTAAACATATGTTTCAAAGTTGTAAAACTTTAATGTACATTCTCTAAGAGAAAATCTGTTCAAGCTTAGGGCCTGAAAAGCAAGTTTAAGGCAGTATTTCAGACTGCAAGTAATATGCTGAAATTATTTTGGGTTTGTTGGATTTTTGTTGTCACAGTGGAGAGGAAGGCACCTGCAGTTGTTCAAAAGAACATACTGATAACATTCCTTTTGCTTTTGAACACAAAATCAGGATGTTTCCAATGGTAGGTGTTCCCTTTTTAGAAAGAGGGATGGGGGGTCAAATACAGCTGTCCTGGGAGGAGCAGATTGGATTTTCTGGCTGTGGGAGCAGAGTCACCTATCAGGAATTCTGAAGGTGTGGGTGGTTCAGCCTTCCTGGAAAGGAGGAGGAATTTAGCATGTGTCTTACCGGTGGGGAAAAAAGGACAGTTTGTTCCATGTGCTCTGCCTATCGGTCCCAAATGAGGAAGATTTATTTTGTGCTTTTTTCAGAAAGTGTGCATTCTTTTAGCAGGCTCGGTTTTTCTGGGGTGTTCTGGGGTGGAAGAACGCTCTGAGCGCTGCCAAGATTGCAGGCATGTGTATCGGAGGTCTGCTGGAGCTCGGTAGCGGGCTGAGCTATAGCCTGCATTGTGCTGTTAACTCCTTTTACTGTAACATAACTGTTCTGAAGAATTTTACCTTTTTATTTGCTTTTCAGTAATGTAGTATGACATGAATGTTTAGATTAAAGTAGCTTACCTGTTTTTAAGCTAGTCAGCTCTTCTAATGTGAGCAAACATAGACTTTGCCCAGAAGGAGAAGTTTGTAACTGGATTCAAAGTAGGGGCCCAACATCATGGGTTGATGCAGGAATTATGGTTTCGGTGGAGCTGTTTTCCTGTGCAAAGCAGTATTTTAGGCTCAGTTTTAGGCCTGATTTGGAACTGGAAGCTACTCTCCTTAGAATATGTCCCAAGACCAGGCCACAGCTAGAAAGAATGGATAGCAGTAGGCATAATACAAAGCAAATCAGGTTAATTCAGAGCAGTGAAGAGTGGGGTTTGTATTGCTCTGTAGGAGGGAGGTTGGTGCTAAATGAGCATTGTGATGTAGGGGGTTCAGCTTGAGTTTGGAGCAGTCAAACCACGCTGTTCAGGCTTGGCTCTGGTTACCCAAGTGTGTGTCTCAGCCAATCTCCCACCCCTCTGTCCGTGTCCATCAGTGTGGAGAGCATGGGTCCCACCACGCGTGAGTATAGGTGTGGCAAACACGGAGAATGGTTATTTATCTGCTCTCGCTAAAGGTTTCAGTCTGTTTGCTCCCTCAGGTGTAGCATCAGCAGCTTCCCTGGCAGGTGTGTGCTTCGTCATGGCCATACTTGAGACAGAAATGTGATTCTTCTTTATCGTGGGTTGCCTGAGCTGTTTGCCACTGGTCCATAAACATCCCCAGAATGAGCTCAGCCCCTCAGAGGCAGCAAAATGGATCTGACCTTTAATTGGTTTAGTGGTGGACTTGGTAGTGTTAGGTTAATGGTTGGACTGGATGATCTTAAAGGTCTTTTCCAACCTAAACGGTTCTGTGATTCTATGATTCTATGAAGCAGTGCTCTCAGCACTAGGGGCAGCTGAAGGCAAAGAGCTCATGCGATGTCTGTTATGTTCTGAATGGCAGAGTTGGAGAGTGGTGTGGATCTGTGCAGGGACACCAAAATAGATTTCAAACACAACAAATGTGGTCAACCTCAAACAACCGTGCGGAATAAATAAAAAGCAGCAATTATGCGGCGTTTCGTGGCCGGCTGTTCTCGGCTGTAAACTGAGACTGGACAGGCAGACCCTCCTCTGCCCCGGCAGAGCTCCTGGCCCGCTGCCGCCCACGGGGGAGTGCTGCTTTCCGAGAGGCGTGGGCGTGCTGCAGTTGCATCCCGCTCGCGATCCAGCGAGCGGCAGTGGGAGTGGTGAAGCCCAGCTCCCCACCTGCTTGCCAGAATTTTATTTTTCTTTGTAAAGGTCATGAGCCAGAGCTTGTCTTTAGTGCGACCGTAAGAGCACACTACTGCTCTAAAAGGCAGTCTCCTGTAAGCGCAGGACGGAATGACCCACGGTGCGGCATATGAAACTGCTGTCCTTTTTGGGAAATAGTAACTACAACAATCGCTACGCGAACACCCCCGTCGCTTTCTGACTGTAAGGTGCACTGTAGGCTACCCTCTTCGAGGTGTGCTCTCAGTCACAGCTGACTCCAGGCATTGGCACGCGCCTTTGAGAACACAAATACCGAATAGGACTTTGCACTTGTACGAAATGAAAGTTAGGGTTCCTGTTCAGCAACTGCCTCTGCAGTTGCTTCCCACAGGACTGTGAGCTGCCTGGTTTTCCAGACAGTGTGGGTACTCTGTGACTCTGTTGGGTTGGAAAATCCACAGAACTACAGTCCAGCAAACACTTAAGCTAATTATTAATACAAAAAAGCTGAAGACTGGATTTTCTTTAATGCTGACTGCCAGAAAGCTTTCTAGTCTGTTTATTTACAGTGCGGTGCTAACTGTCTAGTAAATTCTTCGGCAGAACTTCATCACTGGTGAAGGAGACACAGTGCAAAGTTTAGCAATAGAGCTGGTACACGACAGCCGGTGATCCTGGAAACAGCAGTGTCTCATACCAAAAAAGGACCTTGGCTTCTGGGTGTTCCTGTAGACAATTGCAGAAAAACCACACAGAACACTTAAGCTGTGATATCTGGCTAAATAAACTTTTTCACTAGTTCCTTAACCTTGCAACAGCCTCTCCTCGAGCTTCAGGCATCCAGTTGTGGCCAGTTGTAACTGAGTGGGTCCAAAAGGAGCTTTCAGATGTCAGGGCCAGCTGGAACAGTTAATCACCAGGGTTAAAATTTCATTTACAGTGGGTTCTGTGTGACTCAGATACCCAACCCTCTGCCTCTTATTTCCCTTTGCTAACAGAATAGTTACTTAGTCACAGGATACTTATGGAGATTATCAGGGTTCCTGAAAAACTGGAGTGTGTTGGCAAGGAGCCCTTCCTCCCCCACGGAAAATCCCGCTCATCCTAGGGATTCCTCTGCAGGGAAGTCTGCCTATCTGCATGAAGAGGCAGCAGAAGATAGGAGCAGAAAGCTGTTTTTCTGAACATTTCCCTCCTGAGCTCTGTTGAGAAATCACTTTTTGCCAGCTGAAATGCCAGCAGCTTTGCAGTTTACCATGATTCCTGATTTGGAAAAAAAAAAATAATTAAAGTCTGCCTTTTTGTGCTTCATAAAAATACTTCTCCTGAATTGTGTTAAATTGCTCTACAATTTTCTGTCACTTGATTCCTACAGCAACTTTGGGGTTTTTTTTTTAGTGGACCATGCAATGGAAAGTGTTTCTCATGAGGCTTATGAAACACTGTGCTTGTTTTTACCATGAATCATGGGATTCTTTCCCTATTTTGCTGTTGCTGACCATTGGACAGTTCTCTAGAATAATTCTTTTTTTAAACTGAGTTTATTAGGGGAAGCAGGCAAACAAGGCTAAATTAATGTTCAGCTGGAGACAACAGGCACATCTCTAGCTCAGCAGAAGTAGTCATGTGGGGATAAACCAAATATGCTTAAATAAATAAACAGAAGTATCTGGTGGAGGAAGTCTGAGCACAGCATCATGCGATTGAGGTTTGTTCTAACTAAAATGTGAACTTTAGCCATGAGACCTTATAGGAAATGCCGTGTGCTCCTGGGTGCTTCCAAGTGATACCGCAGTTAAGGAGTTCACACTATTTTTGTTGACCTTTTATTGCCCGTGGGGGTGGGATCAAAATACCTGGACAAATCTCTGCTCCGCGCCAGAAGCATCAAACAAAAATGTGGGGTTTGTGCCAATAGATGTGCTGCATTGTAATACCACTTTTGCTCTTTAAAGCTTTATTTTTTTATAGTTCATAATTATACTTTTAATGGAGTTCTTGCTATATGCTCACTCTTATCCAAGAGCAGCCTTTTTAATGAACACACCCTCTTCCCTCTTGCAGGATTGAGTTCCAGAACAAGTTCTACACGGGCACTGGATTCAAGTTTCTCCCCTTCTCCTTTGATACCATCCGTGAGGGGAGGTTTGACGAATAAAGAGCCCTCCGCTCAAGCAGCGTTAAACGTGGTGTGGTTATGGCTAGCCGTCTCCCGTGTGTCCGAGTTGCATGTAACCCTCCCATAGTGAAAATAACTTATTGCAGCACCCTCAAGTGTTACCATGGCGTTTCAAAGCCAAGAGCTTTGACATTCTCGGGTAATGAGTGACACTGGATTAAAGAAACCTTTTGTTCCTTAAGTTTACCACTGAAGATACTAAGTGCATGAAGTGTCGAGTTTGGTGTGCAATAGTGTACTTCTCGTGTTGTGAAAGGCTTATCAGGGCAGTATGAGAGAAATGCAGCTATGGCTGAGTGGGTGTACAAGCACATGGAGAAAAGGCGTAACAACTTCAGCTTGCAGAGAGCTTGCTGCTTGGGAAGAGAGTTGTTTTTTTTTTTTTAAAGAAAGTTTTACGTGTGGATCCTATGTGTGTCTGCCTCTGATTAAACAAATTATGAGCAGTGGGCAGTTGACAAGCCAGGGCGTGCTTCTCCTACCTCCAGGGCTTCCGCATGTGCCATGTTTTAATCTGACAAAAACAACGTCTCATCCCGTGCAGGGACTCAGCTCTTTGAACTCTGGCTGGGGCGTGAGGAGCCAATATAAAGGGGTAGGACTCGGCCTCAGCTAAGTGTATGCCGACTCCATTTGCTCTAGTGATGGGGAAACACCTTGTCCTTGCACGAAAGGCTGTTCCTTTCCTCCATGGAGAAGAGATGCTCCTTTAACTGTGCACCTGCATACTCGTATCTCAGGCAAAGCCCTAAATCCAGCAGTGAAGGCCCCTTCCACCTCTTGTTTCTGGAGGCGGTGGTGAGGACAGGGGGTCAGGCACAGGGGCTTGGCTGCCTTGCTGCGGCCTGGGGCGAGATGGAGGAGGGACGAGCTGCAGTGCAAACTGTCATCTCAGGTACTGACCACTGGTAGTGGAACTTCTTGGGTTTCTTGTTTAAACCCAAAGCCCTGAGGCTGCAGAGGCCTTAGAGGCGCATCCAGATAACACCCGTGTAGACTTGGCATCAGCGGAGGCAGCTTTTGCAGAGGTGGAGGTACCGGTGATGTGTGGTGTCACGTATGCTCGGGGTCTCAGGAGCCTTTTAAGGGAGCGCAGAGGCTGAGTCTTGCCAAAATAGTCCCATGGCAGCAGAGTCGCGGTGGCATTTCCCCATGGTAGCTGTTGCTTTTTCTCCTGTGCAAAATGTGAATAATTTCTTGCCCTCCTCAACTCGATGTAGCTGTAGGAGCAGTGGTGTGTGTGTGCGTGTGTTAGTGCTGTGTGTAACTGTCGTGTGGAATTGTCACAGTGGATCTGAAGTATTTGTGTACAAACAGATTAGAATGATAATGAGACTCGTTCTAACCTGGAATTGAAGAGGAAATGCCACGCAGCGTGGAGCTGTTTAAAACGACGTGAGAAAGGCGTGCGTGCACCGCGCGCTGCAACGGGTGCGTGCACGGAGCACGGGGATCCTTGTGCTGGGCGTGGGCAGCTTCTGGGTAATCGCCGGGTTTACAGGTAGACTTGGCTGTATGTTTACAATGGTGTTTGCAGAGCGAAAGGCGAAATCAAAACTTGTTTGCCGGTGCAGCAGTGACACCAGTCCTGCTGCCCAGGTTGAAATGCGTTGCTGATAGTCACTGTATAAATTAAACTAACTGCACAACAAGCGCTGTGGCCTCTTTTCTGCTTCCCCCGTGCTCTCCGAAGGGTGCTCCCGGGCAGCCCCTCCTCCCTGTCCCACACTGGGCAGAGCCCTGAAATCCTCCCCGGGGCAGCTGGGACCTTCAGCTTTCCTGGCCTGGGATCCTGTCACGGTGACGGCCGGTATGATGGGGTGGGCAGAGCTGGTTTGTACAACGAGAGTGGTGTGACCGTGCCTTGGCTGAAACGTCTCCGCGCTTATCAAGCCCCAGCTGACATCCTGAGCGAAGGCCGGGGCCGAGCAGGGGCTGTTTTGTCCTGGAGCCTCCTGCCTGCCCAGATAAACCTGTTAACTGAGTGAAACAAGCCATTCTGCAGGAAGAAAAATTAAGGCTTGATTAAACCTGGGTGTTGTGGATGTCCTTGCACAGGGACTGGGGCAAATGCGCTCTGCCTGTTCGGGGCCGCTGCCCGGCTCCCGGCCCCCCCGAGCTG